GCAGCCCCTGGATGCCGAGGGGAAGCGGCAAGTCTGAAAGGGGCTGGAAAGAAATGTGCATTTATCTGCGGGGGTACCGGGCTCAGCAGAAACCAACCCCTCCCGGGGTAGGGCAGGGATTGCGGTGCTTCCCTTTGGGCAGGCTCAGCCCTGGGTCTGGCGAGCGCACAGGAGGAAGGAGAGCCGTGGACTACGGTCCTATTTCTCTCATCCTTTTTTCTCGGTGCTAGGAAATACATTCTCTATACATATACATATGCATATGCATACATCTCGCCATCCATCGTTCTTTCAACTACATGGTGCCATGTACCATGCCCGTGGTCAGAAAACTTCCCGGTCTGAAGGAAATGGCTTTTCAATGAAGTTAATGGTGAATTCTGATGGAACACGTCCCGGAGGACCTGCAGAGCAGGAGAGAGCCTGGACCGCGGCTTCTCCCAGGAAGGGGTTAACTCATCTCCCCGACGTGGCTGCTTGGGCCGGGCTCTAAGGCGCCCGTAACGCCCTCCCTGCCCCCGTCCCAAGGCAGAAACCTTGGGAACCAGTGGGAAGGGACATGATCAACTGAGTGCTCGGTACTTCTGTAATGCCTCTTCCAGACAGACTATTTGTGGACCCAAAGTTTGAACGACATTGAAATAACATTTTTTTCATGAATAAAGGATAGAAGTGACACTTCTCTCAGACCACTAACAGCATAATATGGACCTAAGTCTCATCACCCTTTATACAAATAAATTTACATACTTATTTAATATAAAGATAAATTAGTGAAAAAAGATCATAGAGACTAATATCACAGACCTGTTGCATATTCCTTTGTCAACAATTTGATTACATGAGTTTCCAGCTTCATTCTGACTTCTGTGCCCTTTGGTTTAAAAATGAGTTGCGTAGACCATGAAGCAGTACAGTAGCTGAGACCAGCCTACACTCGAATTTCCGAGAACAGAAGTCCTGTTACTTTAAATATTTAAGTATATACAAGACATTAAATGAAATTAAAAAAAAAAAAAAAAAGAATGCTTTATACAATGCTGGACCCATTCCAAAAGTTCAGAGATCTGATTTGACTGAGGCAATTTGGCCCAGCCTCTGTATTTATGCTGGTTTTATGTTAGTGGAGCTACTGCTAACTTATTTTACTCTAAGATTTATTCTGATATGCTAGATACCAAAGTGATGGGCCAGTCAAAGACAAGTCATGTAACTGTAGAATTAAAAAGCTGACCCCAGTTACACTGAAATGAAAAAACATAAAACTGCTTCACTGGCGTCACTCAGCTCCCAGCATATTCTTAATAAGGGCAGAAGATTGAATATCATAGATAATCTCTAGATGATGGGCTTTACACTACGTATAATGCTATGGCAGTCTTGTAATACATATCTATACATTGCTTTATTTAGTAGGCAAAAGTATTTTACAGTAGTTTCAAAGGGTGAAGTTCTTTGTCTTGGCCAGGATAAAAATGTTTTATTATACAAATGAGAAAGTAGCTGGGCTTGTAACTGGGCAGTTACTTCTATTTACTTCTAATTACTTATTGTCACAGAAGAGATGATCAGTGATTTAGCATAAGGAAATAATCCTATGTTAGCTGTTTAGTAGAAGTAAGTTAGAAGCACTGATAAAAATACTAAATGAAGCCTAAATTCAAACATCAACATCTTCCCATTTGTAGTTCTGATGAATCAGCAGTGATGAGCAGGTAAGATCAGACAGAAATTAAGAGTGGATTTAAATCCTCAACAACACTGAGGAAAGATGGATAAAACATTTTTCCAAAATGAACAATATGATAAATTTATTTTAAAATAAATTCACAAACACTGAAATTAGAAGTAATGCTAATGTTGTTTAAAAATACCTGTTTTGTTACCTGATCAAAATTCTCTATAAGCAAAACAGAGGAATACAACATTTGATACTGATTAGCAAATTTAAAAACCCAATTGTTTAAGGTTTTAATTTTTAAATGTGCCTAGTAGAAATGTTCTGGATTTTCATTGTATCTTTACAATTACATACAGTGACTAAGTGTACAACAGATGACACTTAACATTTATTTAGTTAAATAAACTACAAGAAAAAGACCTCACTCATCAGGCAGTTGGAAGGTTTGAGAAATTAGCTTGGTTTAATTTCATGATAGCTGCAGCTGTTTTGTTTTATGATATTTGTTTTCTTTGAGCACCCTTAATGGAGCAAGTGATTTTTAATTTTCATATTCATTATTTTCTTATTAGGTTATTAATATTAATATTAATATTAATAAAATCTCAATTAATTGAGATTAATTAAAATCTCAATTAGGTTCCATTTAAACACAATTTAAAGTTGCAGATTATAACAAAATGACATCTGTACATCTTCCAAATCCAAAGCAGTCAATCTGATCATGTTTCTAACACTGCCACACTGCAGTACTTTCACTGACACATATCTGCTTTCTCTACTGGGCACAATGAAATCTGCAATTTCTCTGCCTAGAACAATTAATATTCAGTATTCTGAACACCTTTGACTGCCACTGAGCTGTGAGAGAGGAGGAAACGGCCCCTCATGGGATCATGCCTGGCACAAGAAGTAACAACATAAAAAAGACAGCTAAGCTTCACAAACCTCCCAGTTACGATGAACAATGCAGGTAGGTGTTTTTTTGATGCAGTCATTTTTTCCTGGGCTTAAGGTGTGCTCAGAATTACCCAGCTGCAGTTCAGCAGTCACACCTATTTCACTTGCCTGGCCTATTTCTGTTTGAATAAAACCCAAGGCTGAAAGCCCCTTTTCCTCTTGCTTTGTCCCCTTAACATCACCTTTTTATCTTCACAACACCCTTTGAAGGGTATTTACTGAAAGGATGAGAGAGTGGTTATCACACACAACTGAAAACTTAAAAAAAAAAAGACCAGGAATTTCAATAAACTTTCTCTGTAGCTAGATCAAGGACTAGAGATCCTCACTCCTACTGCAAACAACCTGCAGGATCTGAGATGATTTCTACCCAGCTATCTCCAGTTTACCTGTTCCATTAAGATAGGATGCCTGTTTAACTGAGTTCTAGATGAAAGTTGCATGAACATGCAATTTAGAAAGCTTGCTTCAATGATAAATTTAATGGCCTTTTCAGTTTTTTAAAAATTAGTCAAGCCTTGTTTAGGAGACAGTTTAGGTAGAACTAGATGTACAGCGTCAACAGACCTCTACCATTACAGCCTGGAGAGGTTTGGATTGAAGAAGCAAGGTGGATTAGTAGACAACTTTAATTTCTGGGTTTACATGTGTATGAATACACTTGCCACAAAAAGACTGCATATTCATACTACTTTGACTCACACCAGGAACCTGCAAAAAGTAAAGATAGTAAGTCACTCAGCACAGGGGGAAAGGCAAAATACTTAAGAATCATTAACCAGCTACAGAGGCCAGAGTTGGAACTGAAGCACACCAAAATTGTCTGACACAATTGTAATACCTAATTTTCTATGGGCATCTCTTTGCAGCAGCCTCCTAGCCTTCCCTCCCAGCTGTGAAAAGTTGCAAGATTTATATTCAAGCCCTCTGCTACTCCAGGAAATCAAGATGATGAGTGTTGACAGTTGCTAGGAACACATTTTATGTCAGTGCATGCAAGTGCTCAAGCACCCTGAGAATACCATTTGATAACAAAATCTGAGCTAAGACAACCCAAACCACGAAGGGAGTTCAGTTGACAACCACTCAGCCACTCACCAGAGGGAGCCCATTTTCCCCAAAAGCCGGTATTTGTAGTACAGCCAATCTGCTGGTTCCTCAGAACTACCCCGTTAAAAACTCTGCAGCTGCTGGGAGGAGTAGCTGCCAACTAAGGGAGGCACACGGACATGCTGTGAACAGGAAAGGACAGAGTGTAAAGGGTTTTTGTAGCTGCTTGATTAGTACCTTCTGCAGCACAAAATGTTCTTTATTGAAGAAGTTGCTATATTGGAGTTTCAAATGGAATGTGTCTGGAAGAAACCAGTTATGTATCTGCAGCATGTCACTGATAGAGGTGATTTTATACTGTCCTAGGTAGGCTTCTTGTTATTATTTGTTAGACTGTATTTGTGATATATTGCCATTGAACACTTTATGCCAGGTTCTTGCAAGAAAACTATTGATTTTCAATAGAAAAATAAAGATTTTTTCAAAGACAGACCCTTCTCACTTTACCTTTCCTCAAGGGGAGAATCAACCTTCTAATATACTGGTGTACCTCATACATACTTTAAAGTCCAAGTGCAAAGCTTTAGTAATATAATTTGCATCTCAACTAAGCACAGAATAAAGTCTGAGCTCATAGCTAACACTGGAACAAGTCCTGCCCAGGAAGGACCTGCAGCTCCTTCCAGAGCCAGACTGTGTGCACACAATGTTTGGAATAGGGCATGATACAGAGGTCCCTTGGCAGATTTCAGAACCTGGCAGAGCTGTAAAAGTGGAGATTTTTTTGTGCTGCTGGGTGGTTTGATTTTTTTGGTTTGGGTTTTTGTTAGTTTTTTTTTTTAATCTTTAGCCAGGTAAACAGAAGATCTGTGTAGCAGCAAAACTCCCCTGCTGCCTATCCAAACAGGAAAATCTTGCTAGTGAAGACATACTTACATCAGTAAGCACGTGCTCCTGGCACTAGAAGATTATCTACAGTTTCATACCTTCTGATATCTGTCTTTTACTTTCCTTAATATCATGAGATATTACTAAGTTACTACTTTTGCTTCTGGAGTCTTCTGTGTTTATGTTTGTTTCCCAAATACTGATTAATGTAATTCCTCTGCACTTTTCACAGATACTGTGAGGCAGCACTCAGTAGATGCCATAGCACAGACCTGAACTACTGATAAGTAAAAATCAAGCCCCATTGATTACTTGCCTTCAATGGAAGGCATATTTGTTGGTGCAGTCATTTTTAAAATTTCCCTTTCAGGTTTGCAATATTGAAGCCACACATTTTTTGCCACTTGTCAGACTAATTCAATAGCAAAATCCAAGCAACAAGAATTTGATCTGGGTAAGTAATTATACTATATAAGTTGCTAATTAATAGCTGCACAATTTCTTTTTTAAACTAATTCTCAGAATTTTCTTTGCAGTCTGTATCTTCAGAAACATCCTGAAATACAGCCAGCTGATTTTTATTTGAAGGTTTGATTACAGAACTCAGGCTGGGTCTATCATCCATTTTTGGAAAGGTTCCACATTAATGGGGACTCACTGGTCCATCATAGATACTGAATCTCAACACAGCACTGGATAGACACCAGCCTACCAGAACTTCATTGTACCAAGTTAATCTGAGGTTGAAACAAGAAGACAAAATAAAGATATTGACATACTCAATTACATTTGGGAATGAGTATGGAATCTGGAAATCCCTTCGTCAGGTGCATACAGCTTTTTGGCTCAGAAGAGCTCTTAGTGTTAAGCACACACAAAATGGTAAAATATTCCACAGGCAGTCTTTAAAATAAAGAATTCTGTTACAGCTCTTTTGGTGGCATGATTTCTGATTTTATGCATGTGTTTATAAACCACGGCCTTTTGCGTCACTGGCTCAACATGAAATTTCAAATTTCCTGTTTCAAAATTTCCTTGGCAACTACTTCTGCTCACAGTTACCTCTAAATGATTAGTAAGCATGAATTATTATCTAAAGAGAAAAATTACTCGCACCCATTTTTCCTCTGCTAGTGATTTTCAATAAAATAGAAATTAGAGAAATCTGTATTTGAAAACTGGTTGATTGTGATACAGGTTCAGATGCTCTCTGAAACAAAGGATTTCTTGCACAGCCTTTGACAAAACACTTTCCCATCTTACTACAGATTTATTTTTACATGTTGAATTGATTGGATTACAATTATAGTGACCAGAAGAGGTATAGGATATGTATTTTTTGTTATAGTACTATAGCAAAAGACGAACAGGGCTTTTAGTATAGTGTTATAAGCAGTGAGTATTTAGATAGCTGCAATGACATAGTTTACAAAAACTTCTAATGTAGTACTGAAGTATACAGACATCCAAGATATATAATTAATTAGGATTAAAACAAAATATTTGTTATAAAGACAAATACACAGATTGCTGATTATTGGCAGCTTTCACAAATGAGACTATTGCTCATCTTTACCCACACAACAAGAGTTTATAGATTCACGTGTATTTAATCTGATTTCATGCACAGAATAACTTTGCATTAAAGAAATTATTTTTAGAGTTGTAGGTCAGAATCTGTCCAAAAATACTGAAATAGGTGAGTAGAAAGACATACTTGTATGACAAAATTTGATGGAGATACTGTGAAAAAATACTTTTCCATCTCTGCAAATATCAGTGACATAACTTAGTCACTAATTAATTTAATATATTTTAACAGAAAGAATTTAAATAATAATGTGGATTAAATACAGCACTTGGCACCAAAAGTAGTTTGAACATTCCACTGAGAAGATCACGAAGTGTTCAAGGTTGCATTTTGAATTTCCAGCCAGAATCAATATATGTATCCTAGTTGTTTTACAAGTGTAATACATTCACTAGCGAAAATTTTCTTTCAAGAACTAATTATTACCCACTGTCCTGGTAAAAATAATTAAAAATTGGATAACCAGCTTGAATCTTTAAAGAGGGGTTAGATGTTAGGTTAACAGTATTAAGATGATTCTCCAGAAAGTAACAAATCAAAATCAGTTCTATACATTTCACAAAAACAAAATATTAAAAACCCAAAGTTCTTGATTTCAAGTATTTAAGTCATTTTTCTGGTAAGCCTAAGAGGAAGAGCTCTGGTCACACCTCAGTTCCATGGAATAACTGCAATTGTAACTGAAAAATTATACAGGAAGGAAGAAGCTGATTTCTACCATTTCAGATGATTTTCAAGGGTCTACAACTGAGCAGACCAAGATCACAGAAGCAGCTGCAGCTTCAATTCTGTCATAAGTCAAATGGCCACTATACTAAGAATTAAAGCAAGACTCAAGGAGACACAACATTCCTTGAGAATTCCCATGTGACTGAAACACTGATCAACTAAAGTGGTTTATCAGGCCTTTGCTTACTGCTCTTACCTTGTAACTAAGGACATTAATAAAAAAAAGATTCATGCCTTTTGTTTCTAACCCAGCTTTTTTTTTTTAATATATCATCTCACTCCAAAGGGCATTTAAATATTATTTTTCAACCAACAAGTGCTTTACAAAGATATGCCAGCATTGCTAACACTATTCTGGACTTTTGGGAATTCAGGACAAACAAATGTTCTAGCTAACTTGTCCAGAGTCACAACAGAGCAGAAGGCAGCCATGGATCATGTGCCTGTCCCTTTCTCTTCTCCAATTTTAAGCATAGTTCCATGCTGAACTAAAAGGGACTGGCTTTAGGCTCCCTTCCTTGGAACCACATTCCTCTTAAAGCTCTGGCAGAATCAGAGAATCATTAGGTGAATTTAGCAGATTTGTCTTTGGTAGGGTGCCTGGTCAGGGATTAGCAATAATAGGTTGATTACAGACAATTGAAAAAAGGATAAATCAATAGTCCAAAAGAAACTGAGTCATGAGGAACCCAAACCTTCACTTCCACTGAGCATCCTGTGAGCTGTTCTGGAACTGCAGTTTAACTCTCCTTTCTTTTAAGCTTAATTTCCTTTTTCCATATTTAGGCTAGAAAACTGCAAAGTTGCAAACAATGCACACAGAACAAAGATGCCATTATATTTTATATCTACACTATAGGATATAAATCACTACTTACTGTATGCTACATTTGACGATATAACCAGTACTAGTGTACCTAATTTTTTCCATTATTTTCACTACAAAAAGCATGATGGCAAGCTGAAGATTGATTTCAAAACTGTACCAACATCTTTAATTACAAGGAAAGCAAACCAGAAAATAATGATTAGTCAGCTAAGTTTTTGTAGTTACACTACTACTGCGGTCTAAGTACTGCTGAGTAAGTATGGGTGAAATTCCAATTTAGATAATTTCTTTTAGTTCCTTATGGTTTTGTTTACACATTGACTTCATACTGCCTTATTTCAGGCTCTTAATTAAGGGATTTGAAATAGTTTGTTAATGATAAGTAGGAAGAACCCCCAAGAAAAAAAATTGTCCTTTCTTTATTTTGCATTTGTAAACTCTGGGTAATTCCAGTTGTGAATTACTAGACTACAGTTATATTCCAAGCAACAACTACATACAACTACATATAAAGTGTTTTTTACATAAAGTTTGCATAGAAATGTTGAATACTTCCTCTATTAATAAGGATAGTAATTAGAGATACACGTCTGCACTAAGCTTCACAGATATCTTTTTTCCTCAATAGCAAAACTTACATAGAGAAGAATTTCAACACTAAATTTTTATACGTATTTTCTTTGCAAAACAAAAGTCAGAGATTGTTCACTATCAAAATGGAAGGATTTCTAGACTAAAGTTTTATATGGATCAACCAATTGTAAAAATAAACTTTTCCCAAGCTGATTGAAGAGGTTGTATATTTATTAAACTTACAAACTTCCAGAAAGTGAGGAGGAGCATAAAGAAATTTCAAGAACATGACTAATTAAGATTATCTTGAAATTTACACACATGGCCTAAACATAGTAACATAAAACTCAACATGAACAAATTCAAGGTATTCTAGTAAAGCTGGAATAATCTATATGAAAGATAAGGAACACATAAGTTAGAAACAATAACAAAGAAAAAAGTCTTGAGGGGTAATTGTAGATGACAGGTAAACATCAGCCAAGAACATCATGCTGCTGAAAGGAGGAGAAGGGAAAAAAGCCACCACATTGGTCTAGGTAGCTATGCATGTTGTCTCCAGCCTGTAAAGCAACCTTCAAATAGACAAGTTTTCACCTCTCTAGATAGTTGATTCAGCTTAGATTAATATCCACTGAGGGTAAGACAGAAAATCATTACAGAGTTAACCTGCATTAAGAAAACTTTAGCTATAATGATAAGAAAAATGTTTCGAAGAAGCTGAAGACAGGGAAGTGTTGGAATATATTGCCTATGGATAAAGCATTCCAGTTTTTATAACCAGAGATCAAATACCTTTAAAATCAAGCTGGCAAATATTTGCTAAAAATGGCACATCCACAACTGATTTTGCTTCAGGTCACAGAATCACAGACTGGTTGAGGCTGGATGGGGCCTCTGGAGATCATCTGGTCCAACCCGCCTGCTGGGGCAGAGCCACCCAGAGCCAGTTCAGGACAGAGACTGCACAGCCTGTCTGAGCAACTTGTGAGGGGCAACACTAGTCAGCCCCTGAAGCTCCTTCTAGCCTTTAGTCTTCTCAGTGAAATCAAAAATCAAAATTTATGCTAAGATTTATCTTTCCTTTTAGAACTTGCTAACTTTTCTTCATTTACATTTAAATCCTTATTTTACTATTTCAATATCATGATACAGCCTTGTTCATTTAGGGATTGGAAAAGGAACATTTCTAAAATAAAACAGAATAAATAGATTTTATACCCAGGAATTAGGTAAACAATCTCTTGGCAGTATTCCCCTTGAGAAAACATTGTAACTGTCCAGTTCTGATTTTGCATTGCATGCTCTGATCATACTACTTCTTCCTAGTTTAATTTTCAACCTCATGCATAATGTACATAAGTCCCATTGGTCAGCCTTGTGATGAAGATAAGGCAGATGCTCCAGTCAGCTTTGATATCAAATGCCTCATGAGATACTTAGTATTTCCAGTGAACAGAGCAGAATAAGTCTTTTGCACACACATATTACTAACTGCTCACTCAAAAAACCCTGAATATTTTAAGTTATAAGGGCAACACAAAGTAAGTGTACTCTGAAAACTTTATTTTTCAAATGAGTTTCAAGGATTTTTTTTTCTAACTTTATCGTTGAAGTTAAAACAGTTAAAACCAATACTCAAATTTGAAAACCATCCCAAAGAGAAAATGACAGAAATAGCTTTCAAGGAAATATACAGTTTCTTCCTCCCATTTAATAATTCAGATTGATACAGGTTTTGTATTGACCTTGCAATTTATATGTAAGTACCTGACAGGTGACAGGTAAGTAACATCTCTGTAAGCACCTCTATCCTACCATAGTTTTGTTTTAAGACACACTGCTACATCCTAGAATACCTTTCCTAAACAAACTCCAGAAAGTAAATACTTAAGACAATAGCAAATGAGGGGTGAATGAATGTAAGAACATCAAAGGTCCTTTGAGGGAGCTGAACCACAAGAGAAGCTTTGAACCTGGGTTAAAATGTCACAGGGTGCTACCTGAGCACTGCATTTATCAATTTAATTCCTTCAGAATCAACAAATAAACTTTGTGACAGAGATAAAGAAAATTTAAACCTGTGTTTCTTAAAGCTGTCTTTGAAGTTACCTTATACCTTAATGTATAACTACCATTCTAAACACACATTTTGGAACAGTTAAAAAAATTCTCAGCAAAGTAAGGAAAAGATGCGATCATATTG